TTTTTTCTGCTGCAATTATATGAATATGTTATCAATAAATCATCATCATATTGCCAATAAATCACATATCATATTTATGGTGGATTTATCATGTCATGATATTTATGAAAAGACGAAAAAAAATTGACCACAAATGTGTTGCAAATGTGTTATTTATTTATTTGTTTTCAATCCAATCAATCGATCAATCGATCGATTGAATTTCCCGTGAGATCTAGCTATATTTTATGAGATCGATAAAAAAAATTTCTTTTTCTTGCATCCTATCCAAAAAAAAAAAAAAAACAAGTTCAACAGGTCTTTTAGTAACCGATCAACAACACACACACAAACGAAATTAGAAGAGAGAAAGAAAAAAAAAGTGAATATCAAATTTCCGGTCAGATTAAAATCCGAGACAGCAATAACAACAACAACTACTACAACAACAACAACAATCCTTTGCCATTTTGGTATGGGGTTTTATCAGAAAAAAAAATTTCGATTTTAAAAAGACAAATCGACAGTGAGAAAGAGAAAGAGAGAAAAGGAAAAGTTTTTCAATCATTACATACAGCACAACATTTGACAAGTATAAACAACAACAACAACAACAGCAACAAAAAGGAAAATTATTTCTTTTCTTCCGTTGCTAATAACACAACAATCGATACAATCGATATGGCCATTATGTGTGTGTGTGTGTGTATTAAACAAACAAACGAGTTATGATGATGATGATGACATGTCAATCTCATTTTGTTCGTTCTATTCATTCCATCATCAATCCATTTTTTTTTCAATAAATACAGACATCATATTATTATTATTATCATGTTCATTCATCCAACAAACACACATACACACACACAATAATAATAACTTTAAACATCAACAACAAAATTAAAGCTTAAAGTCATTTCCTTCCGGAATCTAATGATGATGAAGAAAGAAAAAAAATGAAAATAATTTAGACACATGAACAACATATGTGTGTGTGTGTGTGAATGAATGGATTTACTTGTCATTTTTGTTGTTGTTGTTGTTGTATGACAAAATTGTATGCAAATTTTCTCTTTTTGTTCATTTTTCCCCATTATGATGATGATGATTGGTTAGATTCCAAAAAAACATCGTGACATGATGATAATGGATTATCATGGGGTGAGTACGCCCGTTGTTTTCGTTTTTGTTCGCACTGAAAAAAAACCTAGATAAAATGAATACAGAAATTAATTGAAAAAGAAAAAAAAATTCTCAATAACAACTCCCAGAAGATGCACCTGCTACATTGTTTTGTTTAACTTGAAATGAAAACATTGTACATCAATCAAAACAGCAAAAGCACTATGCCAAAAAAATAAATAAAAATACCGGGCATTTGGATGAAAATCACAAACAAAACTATTAGCTCCATGATGATGATTGGTAAATATTTGTCCAAAAAAAAAAAAAAAAAATTTCTTGATGATCGAGATGAACAACAACAACAACAAAAAAAACATCCAGGCTAAAAAAGATAATTAAGTTTGTTAACATAATTGAATACAAATGACATGATATTTGAATGAAAATGACCTCTAGATGAAATTGATTTTGATTAGAATGGATGATGAACCACCAGCGTAACAATGATCATTAAAGATTGAAAAAAAATACAAATTATGATAATGTCCAATGTTAAATGACCTCAAATTGGTTGGCTAAAGAAAACGAAACGAAAAAAATAAAAATGACCAAATGATAATATAATAATGATGATTATTACTATGAACGTTGTGGTGATTGTAAAATGGTTCACATCATATATTAGTTATATACAGAAAAAAAATCAGCTCTGTAAATCAACGACCATAATATATTGACGTGACAGCTGTTGCTGTTGATAATGATGATGATGATGATGATGAGAATGATGTTTTGAGATGTTCCAAAAATAACTTTTGTTCTATGGGAAAAACAACAACAACAAACGGGATACTTTCGAAATGTAGAAATTAACCAGTCTGGTTTTTGTTGTAGATGATGTTGATGATGATGATCACAAGTGAGAAAATTGTTATGTATGGCCATCATTATTATCATCACCACCACCACCACCACCACCAATGGTTACTGGGGTTTGTTTTTTTTCGAACCAAAATGTTTAATAATGATAATAATTTGTCCAAAATAATCGATCCACATGAATAACAACAATGGAACAATCGATTATTTGATTCGATATATAAGAATCGATAGTATCGTTTGCGATAATTTGATCGAATCTTTATTTTCTTACAGGCTACTTTTGTTTTCATTTTTTCATTTTTCGTTTCCTTTTTTCCACAGTTTTTTGTTTTGTTTTGTTCACATCTTACCTTTTGGCCAAATATTTTATTATGATGAAAATGTAATTATGGTGCAATTTGCATCACTTTTTGGCCATCATAATTATCGTAATAATAATAAACAACAACAACAACAATTGGTCCTTTTTTTCGAAATAATCAACCCTTCAGGCTGTGTGACTTGATTTTTTTTTCATTTTGTTTTTCTAGTGGATCTATTTTTCTATTTCGTTAAGTACAAAACAGTTTCGATGTTTTATTATGACCATTTTCATTTTCTTCTTTTTTTTGTCTTTTCTTAGATGTAATGACGATGACCATTTAATGATTGAATCAAAAATGAAAAAGATGGTAGCAATGTCGGTTGGTTTGTTAGTAATAAAAAAGAATGAATGGCCAAAAATATCCATCCATTTCATTACGTTACACATAACGGTAAACGATATCATGCCATTTGGACAGGCTTAAGTCAAAAAAAAAAAAATGTATTAGCCCGAAACAACAACAACAGCAAAAAAGTAAAGTAAAATTTTTCTTTGGATCATCATCATGATCATCCAAGAAGACATATTGAAGACCCAAATCTCGTTTCTCTTTTTCTCAATATTTTTTTTTTTTTAGATAGAATCCAGCTTTTTGCATCCATTTAATATTTCCAGTTTAAACTTTTTGTTGTTGTTTTTTTTCCTTTGAAAATTTCATTTCAATTTAACACTATTTCTACGGGAAATTTTTTTTCTACCGATATCTACGAAACGGGGTCATTTGATCCATTGATGATATCTCCGAAATGAATGGACATATGAAAATGAAACTTTCTCAGTAAATCTTCCTTGTAATCTAAACTAGTTAAATCCAAACGGACATCTTCCTGATACGATTTGATGATTGTTGATTTTCATTTTTGAAGATGATAATGAAAATTGTTTCGATGATGACAATGATACACTCATTTGGTGACTAAAAACGTTCGAGGAAGAGAAAGTTTCATTTTCATAGGTTCATCCGTTTCGTAGATATCATCAATAAGTCAAATGAACCACTGTTCGTAGAAATCGATATACCACATCATTATATCATCCAGGTCCAGGATGATGAGTTGAAAAAAAAGATTATCACAAATCAAATGATGATACTTTTAGTGTAATTTCAATGTTAAAATCAAAATGGGTCATCCGTAGGAATAGTGTTAAAAAGCTTTTTCTCTTGTATATACAAAATGGTATTTCATTTGTCAAACTTTATCGGACATTTGGAATTTGAAAAAAAATCGATAAAATCATCTCTGGATAATAGATGGAATGAAAGAGAAATTTTTTTTTTCTTGTTGCTCTCGGTGGACATTGTCCAAATATCTTCACATAAAAAAAAAATTATGGCGATGAGTTCAATGTACAATCATTGAATAATGCAAAAATTTTAATGTTCGATTTTTGTGTGTGTGTGTGTGTATTGTAGGTGTGTTTGTAAATAGAGTGCAAGTATTACCGAATGAAGAAAAAAAAGACGATTTTTCTTAGTGTAATTGATGATAAAACATGATTTCAACAGATAGACAGAAACAGGTAATACTGTGAATAACGGGGCAAACAAAAAATGTTTACAGAGAGAGAGAGAGAGAGAGAGAGAGAGAGAGAGAGAGAAAAAGAGACCAAACGATTCAATTTTCAGGCAAATGGCTGAAATGGTAAGTTATTTTTTTTTTTCATCTTTCATTACAAACATGAAACTCTCACCTAAATTTTACTCTTTTTTTTTAAAAAAAAAAGGATCCCGATTTTTAAGGATGTGTGTGTGTGTGTGTGTGTTTTTCATGTCTTACCGATTATTAAAGTTTACTGTAAAACGGAACGAATCAACATCAACAGTCTTTGACATACACACACATGCACATGCACAGGTTGTCAAACGGGAAACTACTAACCAGACCAACACTGTATGATAATTGAATGGCCGACTTGGATTGACTGAACAACCGAGTAATCGACGAAAAAAAAAGAAAAATTTTTTTTTCTCATCTGTTTCTCATTTCAATTGTTTGTCCATTTACTTACTTCATCATCATTGGTCTTATTTTTTTTTGTTGGTCACAAAAAAAAAAAAATAAACGGATAAACTAAAAGGGGAGAAAAAAAAGTCGAACAAGTTTATAAATGTTCAAACCATCAACGATGTTTTTTTCGTTTGCAAAAAGAACAAAAAAAAAATTTTTTTGAAAATGAAATAAACGAACGAACAAGTCTGACCAACAACAACGACGGGAAAAATTTTTTTTTTTTTTTTTTTGGCCACCGTTACAATCTTGTTCTTTCTTCATGTTCATCATATATTCACATCTCTCGTTCGTTGATCTCATATTTTGTTTGTAAATGGTGGTGGTGGTGGTGGTGGTAGATAAACGATAGTTTTTGTTATTCACAGCCACAACACAACATGTCGACGACGATGGATAATTGAAACCGATTTTTCAATTGCAAACTTTATTCTATGACAATGTTTACACCAGAAAAAAATGAAAATGAAAATGAAAATGTTTAAAAATTTTATTTAAATTTTCAACAAATTTCATCATCATCATCATCACCATCATCATCGGTTATCACCACATTGATCATCTTTCTTCATCCGGAAAAAATTCCATCTTTCTTTGATAAAACACACACACACGAAAAAAAAAAATTTCCTCCATCATCATCATCCACTTGATTGTGTTTGTGTTTTTCACATCCAGGTATGTATGTATGTGTGTTTTTTTACCTTTTGATTTTCTAGGCTTCGAAATAATCGATTAGTTCTTTACACTGGAAAAAAAAAATTTCATGACATCTGTTTATTGTGTGTGTGTGTGTGTTTTTGTTGCCAGATTTTTTGTTTTTGTTCCAAAATGAATTATTAATTGAATTTTCTCCCATCATCATCATCATCATCCATTTCATTTGAACGAATGAAAAAAAAACTGATTTCACAATGATAAATTCCCAGGATGCAAAGAATTATTCATTAATGAAAAAAAAAGAGAGAAAGTGGAATCAATTATAATTGAGATTTTTTTTCACATTTAAACGAATTTTTTTTCTGTTTGAATTTCCATTTTTTTTCTTTTCTAGAATTCTTGAAATTTGGCAAATTATTCCATTGGTTGCCATTCCAATGTTGTTTTTTTTGTTGTTGTTTTTTTCTCTGTTGTTGTACATGTCATTGAAAATTTTTGATTGATTGAATTTGCAAACGAAGAAAACTTTGTTTTGGTTTTTTAGAGATGTGTGTGTGTGTGTGTACGAGAGAGTTTTCGGGTGTAGAAAGCATTCATTTTTGTTGTTGTTGTTGTTGTTGTTGCTTTATAGATGATGATTGATTATCTAATATCTCTATTCATTTTTGTTTAACCTTTAATCTGATTTTAATTTTCTCATTTTTTTTCTTTCTCATTTTTTTTCCAAAATAGTGAAACGAGATCGTAATCATACGATAAACATAAAATCTGGACCCTGTTGTTTTTTTTGTGACCAAAAATTTTAAAAAGAAAAATTCCATCCTCATTCATTCATTCATTCATTTCAAAAATGGAAATTGAACATTTCAATATGACTCATTTAGCCATACAGGCAAATGAAACATTGAAAGAATTATTGGAATTTGAAGATTCATTAGATTCATTTGTCGGTAATATGACCGGTACTGCAGAATCATTGTATACGGCATTGGAATTTTCGAAAATATTTCATTATATTGCCGCCATTTTTGGTGTTATTGGCAATTTATTGGTAATCATTATCTATCTAAAAAATCATCGTATCCGTACAGTGACCAATACATATATATTAAATGTGGCAATATCGGATCTATTATACGTGATCACTGTACCTGTATTTCTTATATCAATTTGGTCTAATTCATGGCCATTTGGTGAATTTGTATGCAAATTATTATTATCAAAAGGTGCCATACATCGTTTTGCTAGTTCATTATTTTTATTGGTATTGGTTATTGATACATATCTGTCAATATTAAAGCCAACATTATCACATATTTGTTATAAAAGACCAATAAATAGCCGAATGATATGTATATTAACATGGATTATTTGCATCATTTCCGTATCGCCAGTATTTTATCATGCATCAACATTTTCTGTACCAAATTCCGAAATCAATCATTGTGATCTATTCTGGACTGGTAGTAGCCGTGAAGCTTATATTTGGTTCACCATTATATCTGCATTTATAATACCAACAATCATTAAGATTTTACTTGCCGTACCATTAATCTATACGTTGGCCGGTGAAAATAGTTCCGATACGATTGCTAGTGAAGGCCAATATCAGGTATTCGCTGAACGTAATAAAAGATCAGCACATTTAATATTGACTGTCATCGTTTTTCATATACTTTGTTGGCTACCTCTTTGGATCTCATTGATCAGTGTCAATCTATTGCCAATGAATGAAATGCCGGATAATTCAGCAATTCTATTCCATATGATTAGTGGTTGTCTTGGCATGGCCAATACTGTATTGAATCCATTCATTTATTTTAAATTATCACCAGAATTCCGTAATGGTTTTGCCGAATTGAAAGAATCCATTTTATATCGTTCAAAAGCATCAATATTTGCCAATGGTGGTAATGGTAATGGTGGCGGTGGTGTATTGGAAAATTCAACAAATTCAAACGATGGTATTATTGGCCATGTTAACAATGGTGTAAATGGTACTACTAGTAAATCTAATGATTCATTTGTTAATAATTTTTTTCCAACCAATGTATTTCAACGTTATGATGAGGAACGTAATCAACAACAACAACAACAACAACAGCAACAGCAACAGCAGCAACAATGCACAGGAAACAATCAAATGGCAGCATAATGAAGTGAAACAAACCAAAAAAAAAAAAAAAAAAAGTCAACCAGAATACACAACATCGATATTGGCAACATTAACGAATATTGAACAAATCGTATCATCATCATCATCATCGTTTTGTTTTATTTTTATTTTTATTATTCCATTTTTTACATATTTCGTTTCGTTTCGTTTTTCACTTTATTATTATTATTTCATTGCGAAAAAAAAATTAAAAAAAAAAAATCCAAAAAAAAAGACAAATAAACATCCACAATTGGTTTTCGATATCGACTGTATAAATCAATTATTATTCTAATGAGATGAATAGAATGAAAATTCCAAAATTCATCAATCGAGAATCAGGAATCTCAAAAGAATATCATTAACAGAATTACGAATGCAAAGTCGTCAAATGTTTGTTGAAGAATAAAATTTTTTTTTTTCCATTAGAAAACAAAAAATAAAGAATGGAAAAACAAGAGAATGTGCAAAATACCAAAAAAAAAAAAAAATACTTTTCATTTTGATTGTCAAACCGTTTCGTTTGCTGATGTTTTTTTATAAATATTTGTTTTGTTGCTGTTCATAGATGATGATCCATTGGATTTGTTTTCAGTTGTTGTTGTTGTTGTTGTTATTCATCAATTTTGATTGGTATTCTGTGCTTCATCATCATTGGTTTTTTTTTGTAACCAAAAAAAAGAATAAGAATTTTCCATCATGGTGAAAAAGAAAATTGGAATTTTCTTTTCTCATTCTCTACAGTTTCTCTATTATTATTCATGCTTTTATTCATCATCATTTGACAGATTTTTTTTTGTTTTCGTTTTCGTTTTCGTTTTTTCATTGCCACTGAAAAATAAAAATTGGAAATTTGGCCAACAGAATCGAATAATGTAAATCAATGGGATTCTAATATTTTTTTTTCTCTGGAATTTTTTTTTTTCGAATTCAATATTTTGAAATCCACCGATATATATTTTGTGCGTGTGATTGACAATATTGAATCCTACTATCATATCGTAACAACGTATCATCAGTGGTATTATTTTCACTTGAATGACAGAAAAAAAAACGAAAAATTTTTCCAAAATTCAACCCCATGAAAAAAAACATCATCATCAACAATGAATGAAGATTTGTTAATTTAATAATGAAGATGAACACAAATGATTGTGCTGGCCTGTCATTAACAGAAGGATTTTGTTTTTTTTTCTTGTTCTCGTTACACTTAACCGAATCTTTTCTCTCTCTCTCTCTGAAAATGAAAATGAAAATAGCAACCACCGAAATTCATCGAATGAAAATTGAGAAACAAAAAAAACAGAAAAAACAGAAAAAAAGATGGAATCGTACAAGAAAAACGTCAAAAATAAAATTGATGAAGAAACATCTTACAGAAGACAACAACAACAACAACAATAAAAATTGATTCGATTCGAAACCAATCAATGAAAAAAAAATCAAATTTTACCTATTCGTTTACCAATTGGCTGACTGATTGAAAATTTATAATAATAATAATAAAAAAATGCCATCAATATCGAAAATAGGTCAGAAAATTTATTCAACATATAGCATAATATTATTCTGATTCTTCAATCAAAATGAAAATGAGAAAGAATGGAGAAAAAAAAATTGATGGTAAGTTTGTTTTCTCTTATGCGCCTTGTTCAAAATTCTATATTCGGTTTATTAGCTGATTATTATTTGTTTCTCCACTATTCAACGGTAAACCACCACCACCAAAGATGGTGATGATGATGATGATAAACTTTTTTTTTCGCATGTCAAACATACCAAAATCAATTCCAGACAGCCAAAACTTTTTTTCTCTCTCCCATTCTGGTATTTTTTTTCTGGTATCGAATTGATTGAATGTGGGAATATTTTTTTTTTTTTGACTTTAATTTCGAATTTTTTTTCTTCTCTTTTTTTTGTGTTGTGAATGATTATAATGAATCTGGTGTTTTATTATTAGTCGTGTGGTTGTTTGTTTGTGTGTGTGTGTGTGTGTGTGTGTGTGCGTGCGTGTTTCTATGGCCGAATTTGGTCATAATTTCTGCACAAAGAATGGGAGAAAAAAGTGGTGAGAGATGTGCAAATAATAAAAAAAAAACACCAGGCCCTTATATTATTCATCATCATGGCAACAAATTAATTACCGTTAATTTACACACACACACACACTTGACTAAATGAATCTGATGAAAATGGTTTGTTCATTTTACACATCGTTTCACTTGGATGTTTTCATTTTTGGTTATCCTTGTTGTTCAATTTAAAATTTTCAAAATTTTTCTCCATGCTGTATGATGTTTGCACTACAAAAAACCACCACAAAATATTATAATTGAGAATGACACACACACACAAAAAAACACAAGATGTACGCCCATTTGGTTTTTTTTTGTTTTCAAACCAGACCAGATTTCATCCATTCATTCATTCAGAGAAAAAAAACAGGAAAAAAAAATTTCTATAGTCAATCATTACCATTTAAAACAAACAAAAATCTAAACCCATAAGTATCAATTATTGTTGAGAGAGAAAAAAAAAAAAAGTAGAATGAAAACCGAAAAAAAAACTTTTTTGCTTTTTGTTTTGTTTTCGATTTTTGTTCATTAACCCATTCATTTATTATCTCACTCAATTGGCTTCCTTATATAAACGCCCATCATTGTCTACTATTTGTATACAAAAAAAACAACATGTATACAGTGAAATGGGCATGAAACATTTTGGTCCATTTTGTTCACCTCCATCCACCTACACTTGTAAATTTTTTTTTTTTTTTGAAAAAATTTATTTCATCCTCGTCTTTCCAAATTTTTTTTTTTATTTTATTTCTTTACACACGACGTTGACATTATTATTCACACACGCACGCACGCGTCATTTATAACGCATGTCCACTGTCCGCTGTGTGTGTGTGTGTGCGTGTGTGCGTGTGTTTGTGTTTATAAAACGGGCACTTTGAAAAAAAGAAAAATCATCAGCGGCTATTTTCATTTTCATTTTCATTTCACTTTACCAAACATAACGAACAACATCGAATATTGAATTCATCTGAATTGATCATCATCATCATGGTGAATTTTCATTGAAACAAACTTTGAATATAAAAAGTGAAAAAAAAGTAATAAAATTCCGCTTCACGCTTTCAAAAAAAAAAAAAGAAAAAAGAAATTTCGGTGTGTTGATTAAAATTTTCTTTACTTTAGTGAAACAAACAAACAAACGAAAAAAAAATCGATTGAAATCATCTTACATTTTTTTTGCGTGACAAGAATAATCCTTTCAATTTTGTGGTCGCTAAATTATTTCTCCTGTTTTTTTGTTCTTTTTGCATTTCCATCGTGTGAAAACAAAAATTGAAATTCCAAATAACCGATTCTGTCAGTGTCTGTGCGTGCGTGTGTGTGTGTGTGTGATGAAATTCATTTTTCAATCTTCAGCCACTAATTTTTTTCAAAAAAAAATTTCACATTTATTCGGGTGAGTGTGTAAATAAATATCATATCATTATTATTATATATCATCATCATCATCAATATCCACCAGAAAAAAAACCATCCGATCCATTTTCCATCATTATTTCGGAATAAATTGTTTTTTTTTTTTGAAATTCATTTTATTTTGATTACATGTAATTTTTGGACCAATTTACAATGAAAATGATGATGATGATGATGATGAAAAAAAAGATGGAATAAATTAAAATTCTCTCTCTATCTCTCTGTTTCTCTTCCAGTTGGCTTGATAAAACACAGAAATTCAATCTCAAAAATCAATCATTTTTGCCATTCATTCATATAGTATATAGATCTGTTGTTGATAGTTTTTCATCATCATCATAATGAATCACCACCTTGATCATTAGCTTATTATTACATACATGCTATATGCGTGTGTATGTGTATTTTCCGATGATTGGATGGACCCAAAAAAAAAAAATCCAGAGAAAAAAAAACAACGACAAAATGAATATCTAGAACACGAGACCAAAAAAAAAGATGAGAAACGAAAAAAAAATGTAAATTTATTCATCATCGTCGGTAATAGTTTTTTGTTGTTGTTGTTGTTGTTGTTGTCTAGTTGATGGTAAATAATCAACACAACAGAATAATGTGTTTGGGTTGTGTTTATCTAGTTGATTCTATTCATTGCAGAATAATTTGTTGTTGTTGTTGTTGTTTTCATAAAGTTCTTGGCAATTCTTTATTCAATCATCATCATCATCATCATCAATATTCGAATTCAATAATATTGCATTGAAATTTATTTTTCTGCATTTAGTTATTGTGTTTTTTTTTCACTCATATATTCAATCACATCACTTATATGAACTTTGTATGAATAAGTGTTTGGTGATGATGATGGTGATGAGGATGTTTGGAAAACTTATACATGCTGCAAATATTATGAATTTTTCTTCCGTTTTCATATTTGACTGACACACACACACACACACACGCATTCAATTTTTTTCGACTTGAGAATCACCATGAGTGTGTGTGTTTGCTGATATTATTATTGTGTGAAAAAAAAAATATTTTCAACACACACACACAGGAAAGAATTCTGGGAATTGAAATTCTCTTCTTTTCAAGATTTTATTCTTCACTTTTCATTTTCATTTTTTTTCATCATTATTATTATTATTATCAATATTTTTTTTCCTTCTTCAGTAGATGTGTTATGCAAATAACACACATGAAAATAAACATGCAAACACACACACAATCATTGACGCAAACACTTTGGTTGACTATAAACGTACATACACAAGTACTTCACATTTTTCATCAATCAATCAATCAAATCGATTGATGCAAAAAAAAATTCTGTCTACATAACCTAAGGAATCGATTTATTTATTATTTTTTTTACGTTCGTCATTCCAAATTAAATTATTATAGCGTAGCACATTTTATATACAAATTATGTCAGTGCAGCCAACTTTCATTCTGATCTGAATCCATTTGTAAGGGAAAAATTTTTTGTTCTTTTTTGCCAAGTTCCGGTCAAAAAAACGATGAAAACAAACAAACGGATCGTGATTTTTGCTTTCTGACACTTTTTTTTCTTTGGATTGAAATAGACAAATTTTTTTCGGCGTTTTTTCGATCTCAGCCTCTTTTGTTTCGATTCATTATTTTT